CTCCTGAGTATACCACTGTCTCACCACTCTGTAGTGTTACTGATCCCATCCCTTTCCATCTGGCCTCACTATCCCTAGCACTTCAATTCCATAGTCCAGCATCTCCTTGGCTACCTACCCTGCCCGTGTTGCTTCTGCCATGGTCCTCAAATTCCAGCAACCGATGGTCGTCTGTCGCTTGGGGGCTGCCATGGGGCCCATCGGCCTTTGGGCTTCCCGCTGCCTTTGACCCAAGAGCGTCATTGCAGACCCAGCAGTGACACCCCCAGCCAGTGTTGTATCATTGTCCAAGTTTCCAGTTTCTGTAACAAATTGTTTTTTATGGGGTAGGGTTGTTAACCCTAAGCCCAACCCCCAACCTGGAGGACCAGGGGGTCACTCTTTGTCTGGTCTCTACCCTTCGACTTGTTCGGCATGGATGGCCCTACCAGGAGTACAAGACTCCAGCCGACATAGCTCTAGGGGTCATTGAGACACACAAACCGCTCCACCACGATAAGGTGGTGACCCCATTCGGATCGGGCTAAAAAAAGGGCTATTGAAATCCTAGCGAGCACGTCAGCAACAAACTCTGATTAGTTCACTTTGAGCGTGCAAATTATCCTGAACGCGGCCCAGGACTCTCCTTTTCCCGCGTGGATTCAACCCTTATATGAGCGTGCGGGCAAGGGAGACTGGGTAAGGGACTGGACTAGAGTCTATACACACATCTGGGTGCCAAAATTTATCAAGGATACATTTTTGCACCCAGGCTTTGTCACAACCTTGGGGTGAAATTAAATCCCGATATATTTACTAGTTATGTTTGAAATCCCCATGTACATGTATTTATGATCAGCTTCTGTTTTACCTACACAGTTGGTCATTATTCTGGTCCTTGCATCTCTCACAAGGCGCAGCAAATTTAAACTGGGGTGGTTCGATGGACGTCCTGGGCTACTGATGTAAGCTTTAGATCTAAGCTACAAGCTATATGCGTTTACCATAACCTCTCGTATACGCCAGATAATCGGATTCTTTTACGTTCTTGGAGTCAAATCGAATAAAATTCAGGGCCTCTTCATATGAGCCCTGTCGGTCGGGGAGGTCTGGAACCCAGTATGTTGCTATGGTAACAAAAATGTTAGGTTCATTTTGTGGAGCACCTCTGATAGAATCTTACTGCCAAGAATCTAACATTTCTGATTCAAATTGGCTCAGATATCTTTGTTCATCATATTTGTTCAAAATTCGGCTGAGTTTATGACGTCATCACTTAGCTAATTTGCATATTTAAAAATTGAGTATCTCTGGAACGAAAAGAGATGTTGAAAAGAGTAAACAGCATTTTTCTTCTCGTACAGACTAGTTGTATATGTCGTAAAATGGCTTAGGTGGGAAAGATTCAATTTTCGTCATGTTACCACTTCAACATAGGTACATTTGGTGGTGCTGGAGAGTGGAGACACGCCAGTCTCATGTTTATTAGGAAACAACAAATTAAATAAATTAATTTAGACAGACAGACAGACAGACAGCTAGATAGACAGACAAAGAACTAGTTATTCAGATCAAATTACAAATTAAACAGACTTTATTTTCTTCAGACCAGGTGACTTCCTTGGTAGTCATAGCAACAGGTGGACTGTTGTTGCTACATATGGAGCTACAGCCAGTACAATGCTTGAATTATTACTGACAGCTAAAAAGAGAGACATAATTGTTTCTGAATCCCTCTGGGTTAACAGTAAGTAACAGTTTTACCTTGTCATCATAATAAAGAATAGCAAAGTTTGCGATTCGGAATGTCATTTTTCCCCTTAAAATGACTTAATTTTCATACCACCATTAAGTACTGTCGTTACTCGTAACTTTATTAATTGTCAAACTAGTGTGTTGGAAAGTATGCAAATGTTCGGTATTAATTTTGTATTTCGTGGTTAACTTCAGTTAAGACACGACCTGCCTACGTTAGCTTAGACTACCTGCGGATTCATGCTGTTAGAAATTATAGAAAAATTACTTGAGAAGTTATAAGGTTTTGGAAAAGAGGAAGGAGAGTG